ATATAAATTTACGATCAATAGTTAATAATTTTTGTCTAGTTTTACAATTCATTCATTCATCTAAAATTGATATTGATATTATTATATTAACAGAGGTAGGAATTTCCATAAGCAGTAATCTTATGCAATTGTTTAATATTCATGGCTATGAAATGTACTGTAAGCTTCGTGAGCAGCGAAGAGGTGGTGGCATTGTGATGTATATAAAAAGTACCCACAAGTTCCAAACTATAAATAATGTATCACTAAACCATTGTGAATCTTTAATAGGGAAATTATCTACGTCACTTCATTACACGGCACTTATTTGTTCATTGTATAGACCACCTAAAGAAAGCAAACACTTATTTATCAAGGAATTGAGAGAACTGTTGTGTAAGGACTCTTTTAAACGCTTAGATTTATACTTATTGGGTGATGTAAATATCGACTTGAAGTCTCATAATAACATACGTGAATACTATATAAGTTGTATGGCCGAGTGTGGCCTAGCGAGTGCAATATCAGATCATACTAGAATCGAAAAACGAAATGATACTATTACGCGGAGTTGCATTGATCATATTTTTGCAAGAACACGCTCGCTAGACCTTTACTCGGCCGCGCTCGGTACTGTTATGGCCGACCACCGTATGATTGTGTTATCGTGCATAGGAAGCGGAGTTAAAAACCTTATACAGAATGGTGCAAAAAATAAACAGCTAATTGATTATAATACATTAAAACCAAAGCTTAACGAAATAGATTGGAATGTAGTCGATAAGATGCAATGTCCGATAAAAATTTATAATTATATTAAAAACAAATTCGAAATATGTTACGAACAATCTAAATATACAAAAAAAAATACATTTGAATAGCAATAGAAACAAAGAATTATGGATAAATAATAAAATTAACAATATGTGCCAAAAAAGAGATTTACTTTTTAATCAGTGGAAAAAAGATACTAATAATCATATACTTAGATTAGAATTTAATAAACAGCGAAATAAAACTCAAAAGATTATAGAAAATTCTAGAAACAAATACTTTAATGATATAATTAACAATAATAAAACTAATAAAAAGAAAATGTGGGATATATTAAATACACTGACTGGTCGCGTCTGTAAGTCAGTAGATGAAGCTGTAATCAAAGCATTTAAGAATAATAATTTATCATTAAAAAATATAGCTAACAATTTTGGTAAGGAATTCTGCGAAAACGTTAAGAATATTTTGCCTAGGTGCAGCAAGAAGCTCATGTCAGAATCGAAATATATATTTCCAGAAAACAAATCTATGTTATTTAGAAAACCTACCAAGCGCGATATATTAACTATTATAAAAAGTCTAAATGCAAATAAATCGGCTGGTAATGATGGAATTCGATGTTTTGACGTGAAGATGTTAAGTGATAAGATAGCTAATGTTGTAGTTAAGTTGATAAACACTAGCATATCAGTAGGAAAATATCCACCCGAATTGAAAACCGGTATCGTAAGACCAATTTACAAAAAGGGATCGCATAGTGACTATGATAGCTATAGGCCAATAACAATACTGCCAGTTATAGATAAGATAGTTGAAAAATATGTATCTCAACAAATTCACAATTTTTATACTAAACACGATGTATTGTCAAATACTCAACATGGCTTTCAATCTAATAAATCAACTACTATTTTGCTGTCTAAATTCACGGACGAAATAAATCAACACCTTAATGATAAAAAACATGTTATATTACTATTCATCGACTTTAGTAAAGCATTTGATACTCTTAGGCATGATATTCTTATAAAAAAACTTGACAATACAGGTGTCCGCGGGCCATTATTACAATGGTGCCAAGATTATCTCAACGGTAGAAAATACCGGGTTAAGATTGGCAATGACTTCAGTGACGAAATACTGGTAAATACTGGAACAGCACAAGGCTCTGTTCTCGGACCCTTGCATTATTTAGCGTACGTTAATGATATGGAAAACATAATAAAACACTGTTCCATATACCAATACGCTGACGATACATGTCTTGTAGCAGCTGATAAAGATTTAGCTAAGGCTGAACACTGTTTACAAATTGATTTCACTAACTTATGTAAATGGTCTCATGGTTGGTCTAGTACTCAATGCTAGTAAAACTAAAATTATTCATGTCCGCTCTAACTACCCACTCAATTTTGATAAGAAAATCGAAGTAATCGCGCATAGTCACCAGTGCTTGCATGTTTTGCAAACAAATAGGAACGGTTGCAAATGTGAGTTGTTAGAGCAGGTTCCTCGTCATAAATACTTAGGACTAGTAGTCGATGACAGGCTTAACTGGGGTTATCATATTGACACAATTTGTGACAAACTGAGAGCAATGTTAGCTAAATTTGCTATCTTGAAATACAAAGTACCATTTAAAATATTACTAAATTTATATAATGCACTCGCAGAGTCAATAATTTTATATGGGATCACTAGCTATGGTAGGACATTTAAAACTTATTTGGACAAAATATACAGCCTTCAACTTCGGTTTTTAAAAATTATAACACCTAATAAAATTAAAAAATCAATCTGCTCCGATGACGATGTATTGCCCTTATTTAAATATTGTAAAATCTTACCTGTTCATATAAAAATAAAAATGTGGCTATTAATTGAACAATTTACTAACAAAGAACTACAAATAAAAGTCAATCATAAAATAACGACACGGAAAGTAGTTCAATCAAAACTAGAAATACCAAGAGTCAGAAACTATTACGGAAAACGAACAAATGCGTATTTAATACCAACTCTCATTAATGACATACCAACTAAAACCCAATTAGAAATAACGGATAAAGATTGTAAACATAAATATAAACAACACTTTTATTCTTTACTTTCATAACAAGTAGTCTAATTTTAATCAAATCAAACCTAATGTAATAACATATCGATAATTGCAACATTCTGTATATAACAAACTCAAGTAGCAACAGCCGGCCGGCCGCCTGCGCCGAGCTGCAATCTATAACCGGTTCCTTATTGTCCGCTTCTGTGTAAACAATGTACCCATAACTGCTGATATTGTGTTTTTGATGTTCTTATAAAGTAATATATGTGTAAACTAATGTCAACAGATTGCTCAAAAGTGTCTCAACATCCAGACAAACCCGTAAGGGTTTTTGTGATGTTTTTACGATTATATTGTGTTTTTCTTTTCATTAAATAAATTAAAAAAAAATGGCCTTATGGAGAGTTGACCTACACGTTAGTGATAAAGATAGGTAAATAAATAGTACATACCTGTTCAGAGGCGAAGAAGGACCACAAGGCTCGTTCAGGCGTTAAGTGTAGTGAATATAAGTAGTGTGTGAGAAGTGTATTTATGTGTAACCTGAATTAGCCCTTTTTAATCAGCAGCAACCCTGACTCCAGCACCGCCACCCTATGTGGTATCACTCCAGCGGCGTCACTCAGTGTCACTCAAAGTCTAGCATCCATTAGCACAAATCTATAATCTAATACGAACGCTGGTTCTCGCGAGTCACAAAGTTTAGCGGTTTTAACCGACACAGGAAAATATATCCGAGTTAAATCAAATGGCACAAAGCAACTCGTTGACGCGAATTAATATTGTCAGAATGCACTTATGCATGCAACCACTATACCACTTGACGCTAATTAATTGTAACGACGTTAATTAATTGCTCAAACTCAAAATTCAACGATTCACTATGTCAGTCTATCAACTCTATTGTACATTTAACTAACTTCAAAACTCAACTAAATCCCGTTAATTATAATCAAAAACGTAACACGCGGTACGACTGATGAGCGGTGGGTCAAAGTTCACTTCCGTTTACTCAGCAACAAATTATTTCGAGAACCGAACGCGACCTTCTAAGGCAGTGACCACGCCCGAGTAGACTCACTGCAATACTTAGACAACCTAATCCGAGGCGGTCTTCACGAAACACAATTTAAGTAGCGAAGTAACGCGCACAAATACTGAAAATCTAGACCATAAACCGAAACTGGTCGCACGAAATCGCTGCCAAGGTCACCACAAATAGGTTACGTTGCGACGGCACCGCTGCATTCAAACTACTGTTTTTCGGCCCACGCGTCGAGCGACTCACACGGGAGTGGGGTAACGATGACCTTTACAAAGTCAGCGGAAGGACACCAGTGTTGAATGCAAATTTTAAATATTAATTGTTAGGCCTAAACATATATTATGTTATTTTTCTCTTTTGGGGAATCCGCTTAGCATCGTATACAATAAAATAAAGTCCGTGTCTTTTCGTACTGTGTGCTGAAATTTCAACTACAAAAGTAATGATTATATTGCAGCTTACTTAGCGTCATGGCACAGCTTACTCGAAACGCGAAGATAAAAAGAATAGTCAGGGTTATTGATTACATTGTACGACATGGATAATAAATGTTCATTATATCAGCGGCCTATTGAAGGCGACCTATTGACGGCGACATATTGACGGCGACCTATTTTAATCGAATGTGCAACCTTAAATTATGATCGTACTTTCGCAAATCATACACAAAACTGATGCATAAATTGATAGAGGACGTTCTATTTTTATCCAAAGTTAAACAGAAGCATCTAGGAAACAAATATCTACGTCATCGAAATCAAGAAAAAGCAGGAACCGGACCAAAGCTAAGACTGTATCAATGGGTAAAAACTTTATTATACGATTGATTATGTGAAATGTCATCATTTTTCGCAAAATTTCATTAAGAAGTGTAAAACGAAAATATTAAATTAATATTTGAAAAATAAAAATAATGAACTTACAAGCTATAGACGCCCAATGCTGGGCATAGGTGTCTTTTATTTTCTGAGAAGGTAAAATTAATTTACATAAATTTTGTCCAATGCAAATCTGACCGCTGCCGGTGCCCACCCGCACTGATGGGACATATCTTCTCTCTCATTCTTCGTCTTGCAATTAGCTTGGTAGTGTTAGTTATAAAACTTATATGTTTTTCATTAAAATAAAAAAGACATTGCTACTTATCAGTTTTTATTTATTTTATACTGTAACATAAAATACGTCATATAGAAACGACTAATTGTTCACTGGTCGGCTAAAAACACAGCTTTACTTTGGAATAAATCGTTACATTTATGTATTCCTTTAAATTATGACAAATAATATGGTGTTTGTGTTTAACTAGGAGTAAAAGATTCCATTAAACATAATATTTTGTCCCGTTTTTAAAATGAATACAAATGGATGGTCTGCAACAAATCTGATGGTCTGTGGTATGAAAGCAGCCAGGTAGGATATACCGAATTCTGAAATGTTACAAAAATATTGTCATTAAAGTTGTATTCTTAGCCTTTATTATATTATCTTGTTTAACTGCGTATTGATATATGCATGCAATAGTTACATTTAATTATAGAACATTAAAAAACAGACAAAAGTACATAAAATAAAGTAAAATTACATTTTTGAAATAAACGTAAATAAATAATATCAATTGCCACTGTAAATTCCATTGAATATGAAAGTTTCATTGAATCTTATACTAAAAACAAATGGTCTGTCAGCGACAAAGAGCGTTTGTGGTCCCAGCGATAGGCTTTCCAAAATTATAAACTCTGAAAAGCAATGTTGTCATAAAATAACTTCGAAACCCTATATTAACATAACCTATATTCGTTAAAAAAATAGAAAGTCTTACCCACCATTTAATTCAAAATATAAAAAATATTCTTACCATTTGCAGCTGCGGCTTCAGCGCCTTCTTCATTTATTTCTATAAAAGCCTTTTGAATGGCTTCGCTTACGTACAAATCACCTGCTTCTTTCAATAGTTTATTTAACTTCGCATGTTCGGGACTAAAAATGTCCTTGACGCCGATCTAAAATATTTAGTATAGAAAAAATAGTTTGTTACATTAAAATGTCTTAATTTTTTATTTTTTTAGTGCATGATATTTTTTCATGACAAATAGCAAGTTATACAAACACTAAACTACACTACACTAGTGACAAAAGGAAATAAATGAAAGACTCACTTTAGGAAGAATCTCCTTTAGGTTTGTTGTGGTTTCTATTTTGAATTTCGGAATGTATGCTTCTACTTCTACTTCAAATAAACTTTTCAAAGCATTGTCTAAAATAGAAGGATCCTTAAGTTTTTCTTCAAGCTCAGTAATTCCATCGATGTTATTAGGAAGAATGATGTAAAATGCAGATTCGTCTCCTTCGTAAGGAATTTCTAAAATCTGAAGTATTTTGTTATATACAATTAAAATATCCATTAATATTAACTAAATACCATTGTTTAAAGTTAATTTTTAACAGCCCGTTGTGGTACTGTACCGTCGTCGTTATAGCCGTACTTGTACAGTTTCTAAAACTATTTATTTAATGTGTTATGACGTTATTTGAAAAATATGAATAGCCCACATAAATATGGTTAAGCAATTAAAGGGTAAAATGTTTAGCCTGCACTGACATCTGAAAGCACGATAGATTAAATGGAAAACACATAATTGATAAGAACTACAATTATTGGTATAATCAGTTAGCCAATATGCAATGGGTTACTTATAATTGTTTATAAAACCTAAAACCACACCCACCTTGGCGTTCAGACCTGCTACTTCGCCATAATTGTAATTTCCTTTTCTGTACATTGTTGGCACTTTGATAGTATTTTCACGTGACACGTGGAAGTTACTGTCTCTTGTAAACATCTTATTGAAAGGATTTTTCCACATACCCTGTTAAAATAAAATGATAAATAATAATAAGTTTTGTATTATGGAATTCAGTTTTACATATTTCAAATTAGGAAGTAGCTTGATCATACCTTAAAATAAATTGCATTCACCAAAACGGCTCTTGTATCGGATGTCAAGGTTTGAGGATCTACTAAGTTTTTTATACGATGATTAGTTTGATCTTCTACCTAAAAAGTTTATAGCTCTATAAATTTCACATTTCATATTTATTTATCAATGTATCAATATTAAGTTTACTTGTTCAGTATTAAAGTATGCAGAGAAATGGAATCGAAGATCATTTGAAGTAAGGATGAAAGAGATTAAAGATTTTTGTATCACGATGAAAGTTAAACGATTTGAATCTCCTCGTACATCCCGTTCTTTTTTTTTCTTAACATCTTTAACACTTATTGAAATAAAATTTAAAAAATACAGAAATCTTAAACCTACCCACGCATTTATTTCTTCTGCCGTTTTTTTACTTTGTGTAAAATCAACATTCTTAACTTCTGATTCGAATGTTTCCCTGGATATGGCTGCATAATTATCGTTTAAGTTGTAATTTTTAGCAACGTAGATTTTGTTTGCCATTTTTAAATCAACTCCTTTTACAGATCTTAGTTTAGAATTCATATATGAAAAAACAGCTTTGGTCTGAAAAAGTACTATATTAAATAGAACATATTACTTATAAAGAGAAACGATATGTTAATTCCTATAAAAAAAGGAGAAACTATAAATTATTGGTGCATAAAATAGAAATACATTGCATCAAGTACTTTAAAAAAATAAAATCTTCTAAAAAGTTAAGACATCAAAGAAATGAATAGAATAAAATAATTTTTACATATATAATATAATAGTTTGTGATGTCGAGCTTTTATTATTTCATATATTAATAGTGTATTTGTCTTAGCACCGATTTCAAAAGCTATTATATTATATAGAACCTATTTTATTTTTTATAGTTCCTTTTGATGGCGGATATGTCGGATTATATCCTCTTTTGTTTTACTCCAACGGGAGGAAGAAGATTACTTTTGTCGTATAAATAACAACATAAATAAATAAATAAAATAAAAATTACATAAATACCAAAATAAATAAATAAATAAAATAAAAATTACATAAATACCAAAATAAATAAAATACTAATTTTATTAATTTATGAAGCAGGCTAGGACAAATAGTTTTCTATCTATTTATCTTGTTTTCTAGTTATTTATGTATCTATTTTATGATTTAAACTTTTATAGTTTTATATTTTATGTAATATGAAATAATATGATATTATGAAAAATAGTTGTGATACGTACAGAGTCATCATCGGGAAGACCAATGGCTGTTAGTAGTTGATCGTGACAGTCTCCTTCTGAAGCAAGTGACATTTGTGCAAGCGGAGTAAGTACAGAAAAGGCAGATAACACAAAACTCTTGTCTTGGTTAGTCTTTGCAACTTCCTGAAATATTTCAATTACATCTTTTAGTCTCATTAAATTGAAACAGTTTTGATAAAGATTTATTAGCACAGCCGATATATATATATATATATATATATATATATATATATATATATATATATATAGATGCGTTGTCAACTCTGAGGACTGAGATGAAATGCCTCTTTTTCAGTAAAAAGGGTCTCCAGTTTTCTACACTGACCATACGAAAGACAGCAGCATTAAGCTACTATTTGTAATTTTACGCTGGTGTCTGTGAGAGCGTGGTCCTACCCCGGACGAGCCGACCCGTTCATGCTACAACCATAATAATAGCTGCAGCGTGGCTCTATCACGTAAAAAAACATAGTGCTATTATCATCTAGTATATTATACCAGATAATATAAGATACTTGAACAAATATTACCCGTGTTAATTTTAGCTAATCTTTCCTACTATAGGATAGGTTGGTTAAATTAAATATTGAATATCCAGCAGTTTCTTCTTCATTAACTGGTAATAGTCATCACCGATTTATGAAGAAGAAAATCTTTAAACTAAAAATAACTACAATAATTAAAAAGATTTAAGCTATTTTCAAAACTTTAAGACATGTGTTTTTATCAAATAACTTACAGAAAACATTTTTGCCGTGAAATTATTATTGCCAGCAGTTAGAAGTTCTGCATAGTTAGTTTCGTCACCGCCATTTACCACAGTTATCATAACAAAAACCATTACTAAAACAAAAAATAAAATGTTATTACAATCATAATTACAAAAAAAATGTATTTTAAAATCATTTTTGCCAAACATCAGAGCTTTTACTGTATTGTTGAGGTATTTGTCATACATAATTGCACATGTATAAAAATTCACTCTGAAACCAAATAATTAGTGGAAGTTCAAGAATATCCAGTAGCCTTATATCGTTCAGTAGGTATCGTAAGAGGCGACTGAGGGAAACCCACCAGGAGATCAGTAGCGCCTACCTAATAACACCTAGAAAATTAAAAAAGATTGGTTGCAACCCGCCTGCCAAGCCTGGCAACTATGGCAAATATTTCCCTACGAGACATTCTATGGGGAAGCTTGTGTTCAGCAGTGGACTTTTGATAAGCTGTAATGCTGATGATGGTGATTAAAAATCCATACAGAATAATATTTGTAGGCCCTACAAATAGGTATTCCTGCCAAATCGAACCCACAGCTTTCAGCACCGCAACCTACCATTTATTTTTTAATTTAAATAATGACGCGGTATATCATGTATTATCACATTCTTGTGTTAATTTTGTCTTTTACATTGTGCTCCAGCATGCTAAATTTATTATTAAGATACTTCCAAAAAGTCATCAGTCATATTATATATAATACTACTTATATTATTTAAATAATCAAACACATCTCTTGGTTTGTTTCGGAAGAGGCGACAGAGCTTCGACATGCGCTGGATATTAAGGGATAGTGGATATTCTTTTACCGCCACTACACGTTCGATATCGTTACACCGCCTCCACAAGATCGGATAATGTTATAAATGTATGTGAAAAAAAACGAATCCGAGATTTGAGAAATCCCTCTTGTTATTTAACGTGAGGGTCGACATCTACTGGAAGATAGCTCCAGACTGGTGATGATGGAAAATACCAGTGCAAGGCTCTTGCTCCTGCTCATGAGTATGAACAAATCGTATGAAATATGGATGCCAGCTTGATGCTGTATTTGATAGTATGTTGTAAATATTAACAAAAAAAAATTGGTTCTTGATAGATATCCAATTTTTATAATGGATTTACGTAGGGTATAATATGTAATCTAAGCATATCTTCACGTAGTTTAAATCCTCATTGTATTAGCTATTGTAAATAAACCCGTTTAGACTCAGGTCGTTTACTTATAACAAACCGGTCTGAGAGTACACAGTGCAACTATGGCTAACTGATGATTCTTATTGTCCGTGATTTTCAATGTCATTATGGGACGCAACAATTCTATATTTATATTTATCGTTTACCTTATGATGTAACTCTGCGTCATGATTTTATAAATTTGTTTTAAGTTAAAGTGTAAACAAATTTTATTTGATCAATTGTTTTCTATTATAATAAAGACAAATATTTTATGTAGACTATGAGAATGCGTCCGTCAATATTATTAAGTTGTTGAACAAAGTTTGCTGCGACTGCGGTAAAAGTCAAATGTTATCTGTAAATGATAACCAGCCGAAAATGATTTTATAATACAATACGCTAATACAAAATATTTGTGTTCTATACATGACATAAATAAAAAGTAATCATAGCAATATAAATTGCCGGTAAAAGATCTAATTATTTCATAATAATTAACATAACATAAATATTCAACTAACTACGCATATAATAAAAATTTCATTTCGTGATCCAATATAATAAAAAAATATTTCAATATACTACAAAAAAATTAAATAGGAAATAACTTACGGCAACTATAGAGATCCATGATGGTAGCTGCCACGCGCACGCTTGCTGGATCTGTACTAACCAGTTTTCTAAGTTGATGGTCGTTAAATAAATCAGTGTATAGACTTACAAAACACACAAATTTGATTAGCGTTATCTTAAGCCAAATAATAACTATTTAAGTGTAATATACTGCTTAGGTTATTTCATGGACTGTAAACTTCGTCACGTAGTAAATTATACTTAGGAAAGGTATAGCAATTAGTAACGTCTCAGTGAGACTAATTACAACACTATTTTTTATTGAACCTCGATTTATGTGTATTTGCTTATAAAACTATTATTATTTACAGTTTCAAATAATCTGCTCCATTAAAGACTATCAAGCTCAGCCTACAGTAAAATTACACATTATTTTTTACAATAATAATTAATTATTTACTGTGAAATAATATTTTTGAATGGTTAGTTTTACTGTTATAATTAAGAATCCGTCGGTAATTGCCATAATTATGATTTTATGCTAATTATGTGGAGCGAATGCTGTGTAAATTATAAAGTTAATTATAATTATGAAAGCGATTTTCCCCATTTTTAAATACACTCATTCACATATTTAAAACAATGCAATAAAATAGTTATGAATTTATTGAGAGATTGATTGAAATTAATTAGTAAAGTTATGGTAGCTTGACCGCCGGCGGATTGCTGTCTGTTTTATCGTTTAAATAATGGTTTGAAGTAGATTTTTATATGTATAAACGGTGCAATTGTGTATATAAAATCTGTGCATGTAAACTATCAGTGGAAATGATGTAACAAGTGTTCCGATACTGATCTAGGGTTTTTTTTTTAATCAACTTAGGGACCTTGAGATATTCTCATTAAGAAATATCTGCTGTTGTTGAAATCTCCCAAGAACTTCGCAGTGTAAAGCAACGTACGAGTAGTATTGTTTAGAGTTTTGTGAACAAAATACAACGTACTTTGTTCTAGACTATGTATGGCCCTTCTTGCATACCTTAATTGGTAGGTACCTACATCTAAACAATAACAACAACAGCAACAATTTGTACCTTAGCCAGAACATTAGCTATAGCAGAGTACCTAAGATCAAAGAAAATTATCACTTTTGGACTTGTATAGAGAATTTCTTGATGCAATGCAGTTTTTTTTTTAATTTTGGCGCAATCGTTATTATATGCTACCTCCTTCTGTCAAAACTTCCTGCATTACTCTGGGTATACCTTTTATACTCAAAATATTTTTTTATGAAACCGAAAATTAAATACTTACATTGCATTTGATCCCCGTAAGTGAACATTGCAAACCCACGGACACCGAACCATCTTCAAACAAAAAATGGTTATTTCATTCCATTACCATACCATACATTTTACCAATGTATTTTAAAGTATCTTATGTTACCTGGAATAAGATGAACTGGATTTATTTGTTTAATTTACCTTCTTAAATTATCCTAAACACGTTTTTCACGACTTGTTCTTTGCTTCTTACGGACTTCTGTACACAATATGCCTCCAAAAACCATTACTAAACCATTAGGCTGAACGTTTTGGTGAGTATGAACAATATATATATAACCTTGTCTCTCTTTACGCCTCGTATTTTCTGAAATTTACTAATTTGGAAACGCGCAATGTTTGAGACACTTGATTGTTAGTGCAAATGTTTTCCTTAAAGTTACAGCTGTTGAGGTTTGAGCTACGTTGAGATTCAGCATTAACATTTAAATTCATCAAGTGATAACAATCGACAATGACAATGAAAAATTTTGTCGAAAAGTTAAAAATGAATTTGGAATCCATAAAAACCAGCAAAATCAACAAATATCCTTACAAAATTAAATTAAAAGCAAATCGAAAAAAAAAAACAAATTAAACTATATAATATATTAGAGAGATGGCTATTTTCGGGAGATTTTTCATATTATTCTCATTTATGTTCACTCAACATATTTAAGTTCTCTATATATGTCTATAGACTATAGAAGACTATTGCAGATCTAATACGTATTTTTCGACAGCAACCCTAGCTATGACTTACCCTAGAAATGATAGATGACTTATGTTCTGTTTTGTATTAATTCCAATTATATTAAGTCAACGCCTGAAAATATTTTAACAGCAAAATTAATTTTACAAGCAAATTTTAGCTACTAGTGTACATAAGTACTAATGTAGGTAAGAAATGTAAGATATTTTAATTGTATAGAATATTTAAGAAAATAATTAAATTGGAACACTTTTAATCACCTTAAAAAGAAAAGAGATATGTTACACTAGTTTACAAAATTTCGACATGTGGCTATATATATTTATATATACTCAATTATTGTTGAATACTCAGTTATCTGCTCCAATAATTGTTAAATAAGTAAAAAGACTGATCTTGTCCGCAATTTTATTTTTATGTTATTTAATCAAATGCCAACAATATAGTATTAGTCAATACATGGCAAAAATAAGTTGTGCATCAAATAAGAACAACCCTTTAGAGATTGTTATTTTAGTAGACCGGATCCCGGAGGTACCAAGTATACAAAAGGCCACGCAAAAACTTTTGCGAAAAAAGATTTTTTTGAATGAGACGCTGCCCGTTATAATTTATTGTGAAAATACTATTTTATTTTCTTTGCTAAGCGACTCATACGGTTATACTTTTGCCAGTGTCAAGTGGTAGAGAAGTATCCTTTCTAATAATTTGTTCAAAAACTTCCTTATACTATGTTAATATATCATATTACAGAATTTATAAAAAAATTCAATAGTAGACAGTTAAAGTCAGAAAACATTCGATGACGACATTCTTAAGGCACCTAAGCGGACAAAATAACTTGGTGCTTTTATCAACATTAGAGCTCTGGATTCATCGTTTCCATAATCTAACATTTCACATTGCACATACATATTTATATGCAAAATCTCATCACTTTTACGTATCAGAATCCATTTTAAATCATTGTTTACAAATAGGAGGAACTGTAGGTACACACCGCGGAAATGTAGGCGGTGTGTTCCCCCCGTCATCTTGAGTCGAGTTGGAAGCAAATAGAGAGCCTAGCAGATCTTCTTTCTCTTTTGCGTCATGGGCCAGAGAGTCGTCCACCCTGTGCAAAATGGCAGAGATAACTGACAGAAATTCCCTTGGACAGCCTTGTCGAGAGACCACTATGCACGTGTTGATGAGGTTATAGGTTGATGTTAATGAGGCTGCACACTGTCCCACACATCACGCCCACCATGTTTCCTTAGTAAGTACAGCCTCATTACTGACGATCTGGGGTGATGCATCCTCTAAGACGTCATAACAGTGCGGACTTTTCTATCCAGAACGTTCAGTTCGGTCTGAGTCCTCCTGAGTATGCCGAAGGTATATATGAGGACAGGCACGACCCAACCGTTATATGCGTGTGTCTTATTCACGCCTGACAAAAGACTGTTGAGCACGTTTGTAAATCGTGCATAAAACACATCGCAAACTGACTGTTTCATATCCGCCTAATCGATACCTATGTTCTATGACATACCCAGGTATCGGTATGTTTTAGCCTCGGGTAGGATCCTGATGTTGATGATCATAGATAAGTCTATGTCCTCAGAGTTAGCAACCCTCTTTCGACATGTAGGACGTCACAATTATCCGTCCCCAGCTCCATTGTAATAGAATTGCTAAAATCACAAGTTATGTTTAGCAATCACAAGATGTGAGCGACTGGAGGTAAATAATTTGAGATCATCCATATAGAAAAGGTGGGTCACTTTTGTACCTCCTCTCCAAAGCTGAAATCCCCTCCTAGAACCCTCCAGTAAGGTACTGAGAGGGTTTAGAGAGAGTCAGAACCAGATCGGACTCAGACAATCGACTTGGAAGATATCCCTTCTTATCCTTATGTGGTTCTCCGCAACCGTCATCCGCTCGCCTAGATGACAAAGGATCGTAATCTACTGCCCCATACACTGCCCGAGGAAGTCTCTAAGTATTAACTATCTTATTGCTTATTGCAAGTGTTTGTATTTTAATATATTTTGTTACATCGTTTTTCTTAATATGAAACATATTTAACATTAATAATAAATATTTTTATGTTGAGTTTGTGGCAGTTCCCAGTCTAAATGGACACTAGCCATCTGCGCAGGACAGGATTATAGTGTTCATTATCCAACCTCTTTTCCCTCAATCTCAAATTCTGATGGGACGGCAATCCGCACAATTGAAGAGAGTGCAAGCAGTCTTTATATACTTTCCGAAGGACGGTAAAGGAAATTGGGTGTATCTGTCAATTGAAATTCTTGCACTGAGAATTTCAATTGGCAGATATACCCAACTACTGATTTAGGCCCGACCGGGGATTCGGACAGAGATTTGAGTGCACTTTGTTCGTGCACAATCGGCCACTATATTATCCTGTCTTGCGCAGATGGCTTGTTTAGACTGGGCGCCGAGACCTAAATTTGCCTTGTCGGCGTGGGTAGCCTTACCTTCGTGTATCGGAATCCCCAAAATCGTTCTAGCGGTTCTAGGCTAACTCTTAAGATACATATGATATTGATGGGGTTGTGAATTTCTTAAGCTACAATCATACGGCGCATTTTCGTTTTTTTTTTTGGGTTATATAAAGATACATTTACTAACAAAGATAAACGAGTAATGTTCAAAAAGCTCTGTAAACAATAAGTTGTCTCGTGGCGATCGTAAATCATCTGTGATTACAATATTCCCCACGCAAGAGCATCGTCGTTATCGAAGTTATAAATAAGCAGGAGTTGAAATTCTGTCTCCGAATATTTCTGCAAGAGCAGATGGAACCAAAGCGACTAAAATTTTAGCGGAGATCGATTAAAACGATGAAAATTTCAAAGTATATCTTAATAACTTTCCGGTAAATTAAGAATTACAGTTTATTATAATATACCAAATTTATTTTAGGATGTTCGTACAAATTTAAGTATAAAATAAATAGGATGCTTTTATACTTAATTTGTAATATCATATTATTAAGTAAAAAGGCGAGCGTAACCTTATATTTTTATTAAGATATGTAAATTTCTACTGTATATTTTATAAAAATTTATGTAGATTTCATCAGCAAATTGTTTTGTATTTATGCCCAACAAAAATGTTTATTATGTACTAGTGAGTTTTATTTTAGTTGTACTTTATATTTTTTTTAACTTTTGCTTATAATAGCTAATTATAAATAGTATAGCTATTACTTAGTATTTTCGTGCTGCTTACATAGTGAAAGCAATTAGATCGTCAACAGATGTTAAAACAAAAGCTTGATGTCAATGGAAACACACAAAAGCGCGTTTATGGCGCAAATTGAGCTGAATACGTACATCTAATTAACTCCCTTGTCTTATCAGTTGGTTGCAATGACATAGTACATATCACCCAACAGCTGGAGAGACTTAAACAATCAACAAGTATTATAAACATTACATTGTCTGCTTACCTGTTTGGCTTTCACGAGGTACTCGTCATAAGGAATCGTAATGTCGACTAAAAATATCCATAATAGTCCATCAGCACAATATCATATTTTTCGCAGGAATAGTCCTGGTTTTGATGATGGCCTGGTTCCACTAAAGCCTAGCGCGGTCATTTTTGAACACGGTTTCCGACGAGTACTTATAATAGGGTAGTTTCCGATCCACGAGACCGTATTTCAGAAAGAGTATTATAGATAAGAGTATTG